CGCAGAGCAGGCCTACCAACAGGGAGGGGAAAAGGGGGCAGCTGCCCTAGGGCATGGTGATACAAAGGGGCCCGAGGCTCTGGCCGCCATTGCTGCTGCAGTAGTACTGCAGCCAGCGCTGAGGGCCAGTTGCCCTTGGCCCCACCCCTTCTGGGAATGTGGAGCTGTCCTCCCCCCTGACCTGGAGGCTGCCAGCACCCCAGGGCAGAGCTGCCTGGATGTGTCTCCATATAGGAGCCCGAGGGGGGTTGTGCCACTGCTTCTGGGAGGTGCTTGAGGTTCACAACACCCGAGCCTGCACCTTTGAGTCTCTCCCAGGGCTCAAGCCCCTGCCTGAGTCCTGTCCCTCCTCCTGCCCGCCAAAACCTTTGATCCCAGCCTGGAGCACCCCAGTGCACCCCAAACCTCTCATCCCAGCCCCACCACAGAGTCCGCACCCTCTCCCTGCACTCCAAATGCTTCTCCCAGCCCTGATCCTCCTCCTGTCCTCTGAACCCCTCAGCCCCAGCCCAGAGACCCTCACTGTATCTCAAACGCCTCATCCCTGGCCCCACCTTGAGCCTGCTCCTTTAGCCAGAGCCCTCTCCCCTTTTGCATCCCAGCCCCTGCCCCAGACCAGACCGCCTTACCAAACCCTGTACTCCTAACTTCTAGCCCCACCTCAGAGCCCCCAGCCAGAGCCCTCGCCCTCTCCCATACCCCAACCCCCAATTCTGTGAGTATTCATGGCTCTCCATACAATTTCCATACTGAAATGTGGCCCTCGGGCCCAAAGGCTTGCCCAGTCATTCTAGACCCTCACGCTCTGAGCTGGCTCCATGCACTCTATGAGGGTGGCAGAGAATGGGTCACATCTGGCTAACTACTACATCTGTTTGGCTTCCTGCAGGAGCAGTGGGATTAGGATCCAGTGGGAGATGCGCTGGCCCTCTTCAATCACAGCATGGGTTCTTGCACGGGAAGGTCTTACTGGTTGAACAGGGAATGAATGTCCAGGATGGGATTTGCAAAAGTGCACCAGAGGCTAGTAAGCTCCCGACTAAGCCCTTAGGAGCGCAGGCATATTGACTTTCAAAGGAACTTGTGCTCTTCTGTCATTCAAAAACACACTCCACAATGTGTTCAAATAGCACAGAGTATGCAGCTCCCATGCTGCTGATTGTTGGTTTCATTGGGTGAGATGGAATTAGAGGAGGAAGAGAGGGAGGTGAGTGGAAGGAAGAGTATTATTTCAAGCCTTGCAGAGGCTTGGAAGTCCTGACTTGGGAGTTGTGGGGAATTATTTACCAAACTGGCTAAATCTTGTGCGCGTTAAAGATCTTTACAGCCCTTGATATATAACATGCACTGCGATCTACACAATATCGTCCTGTTATCTTCATCCAAGCCTACATCAAAGGAGGTCTCGTTTTTTAAAGAACGGTGCAAAAACATTTCTGCAGTTATTCACTCTGGTAAATGACAAAAGAAACAGAAGGCAGGTCACATGCCCATCTGCCTGAGTGGAGCTCTGTAACAGCCCCAAATGCCCCTCGAATCCAACAGGAGCCTCCTGAATAAAGGCACTGATGCGGAGCCAATCATTTGTGGCCTGGGCCATGCTACTCAACACTTGAGTGCAGGAGGGCGGCTGGCGCTGTTCACAGCTGTTTTAAGGGCTGTCTTATTATTTATTAACTTGGGTTGGTTAATGTAAGCTGGCTGCGATAGGAAGAATGCTTACAGCTCACATTTCCAACACAAGGTTTTTGTTGCTCTTCATATTACACTACAGCTAAATTCACACAGTGAATCTCCTAAATAATGTAAATGGCTGCCACAGCAGGGGGCGGGTGTCTCAGACTCGTGCGTGTAATTTGTATGCACAGCTGTCCACCGCCACGCACGCGGTCGTGGTCGCTGAGTGGGTCAGTCGCCCACCTGGATGCGCTTGTCTGGGGTCGGCAGTGATGCCAACCAAGCACGTGTGATCATGTGGCTGCTCGTGCAGCTGAGAGAAGGAGGCAGGGCACTAATGATGCGGGCAGCACTGAACTCCTCAGACAGAGCACATCTGGGCAAGTTGTAGACTAGGTCACGTGGCCCTGCGAAGAAGGGCAACCACAGAGACATTGGCCATTAGGTCTTACTACCCTGAGCATAAAGGTAGCTGAATGGACTTAACTGTGGGGCCACACTGCCCTTACCCCAAAAGGCAAATGTGGTGAACTTGCCCCACAACAGCAAACCACAGAACTTCTCTACCCCTCTATAAATGGGACCCAATGATTCCCCTTCACTTTTGTTAAATGTTACGATGCCTCTGGCTGAGTAGTTCTTCGGAGGTGCCATGTGTATTGAGGGCGGTACCCCGGTACATTCACCCACCAAGATGCACATGCACTCACAGCTCTGCTGTTGTGCCGTAGCGCGCTATGTAACAATGGCACGGCAGCTACACCGTATGTGCACTGGGCTGCATGGCTCAGGCAGGTTCTATGGTAGGAATCTCTCTCGCAGAATCCTCGCACATCCTTTGTTTACCCAAGAGACAGAGAAGAACATTGTCAGTGGGGGCTGATGCACAACCCAAGGCTGGCAAGAATTATCCACCTACTGCTATCGCAACCACCCCTCTCTCTGTGCTGAGGATGGGCTTGGATTTTAAGAGTCTCTGTCTGGAGATGCAGCCCACACATTGCCTGCTGGAGAAAAAGGCAATTACTTTTAATTGTGGCGCTCAGCATGAAATGATTTGAGAGACCATGTGTCTCAATTACGGCTGGATCAATTCGCACACAGAATATGAAAAAGAAGGGCAGGCTACATAGTCAGGGACCTATGGCAATAAAATAACACTGATCTCTGCCATAAATGGTGGGCCTTGAAATTTGGACCCAAGTTTTGCTCCTGATCTGACATCTCTTCCTTCCCCAGAGTTATGGCAGGTGGGGAGGGGGGATGAATTGGAGAGAGAACTTGGGTTTCCAGTTCAGCTCTGTTCATCACAGGCTCTTAATTAATGTGGGTGTCAACATTTGGGAGACTGGGGGAGGGGTTGTGTTCTAGGTTCAGGCCCATCTTTGATTTGTAGCAAGGTATTTAGTACAAATCTTTCATCCCTATAGAAAGAAAGACTCTAGCTGAGAGCTATGACTTGTGCTGATGTAAATGTAGCTAAGGACCCATGCTGGGCATCTCCAGAGAGTCAGTGCTGAGTGACCTGACCTCCTAGTAGTGATTTCGGAGATGGCCTCACAGCGCCAGGCCCCGAGAAAAGGAGAAGTCACTGTTGCTGAGGAGAAGGGCTAAGCAGACACACTGGCTCAAACCCTCCCTGCTCTTGTCTTGCTTCCTTGGCTCTCAGGAGAGTTTCACTTTGGCTCTCTCTTCAGCAATGTTGTTTGCCATGGTCCAACAGCGGCGCTAAGTCAGCTTGCAAACAGTGGGTGTTCCACTTCTTCTACTGGTTGAGACGCCCATACAGGGGCCCTCCTGTATCTGAGTGACCTGAAGGGGAACAGATCCTTGAGGGCTGGGCAATAAAAGAAACTCAGGCAAGTCACCTGGGCCAGTAGAGTGGGAGACCAGCACATAAACTGGGACCCGTGGAAGAGTCATTCTTGGAAGAAAGCCTGTCTTCTCAGACAAGGGCCAGAAGACAAGGTAAAACTCTTCCTGTCCCCATCCCAAAGTCAGGAGGCAGCAAGTGGGCGACAGCCCTGCAGACCATGATGAGGAAGGCAGAACTGGTTGGAGGCAGGCTCTGGTAAAGCACATATGGGCCTCAAAAAGCAACTAGCAGTTTCCAGCCTGACGCGCAGGGCTGATGGAAGGGCTCTGAGAGCCATATGACTTGCAGGAGCAGGGCAATGAAGCCTAGCAGAATGACCTATCATAGGTAGCAGCTCAACAGGAGCAGAAAGGAGCCTGAGACTGGCCAAGCAGGCTGGGGAACTCAACAGAAATGGTGCTGGAGGCAGCTGTGAGCAAAGACAACCTCAGCCCATGGAAGCGGATGGGATGGGATTGTTGGCCAGCCCTCGGGGATTGCCAAGGCCATAACAATCTAGTGTGTTCTAGACAAGGCTCTCCAAGCACTTCACACACGCCCACAGCACGGGCCCCCACAGCAAGGATCCTTCTAAGCTGCACCGCAGCACAGCCCCATAGCTGTGAATGAGCCCCGCCCAGCCCGGGGAGCTGGAGCTGCCTGGCTGGGGGAGGAGCTCTTCTCCCTCAGTGGCAGCAGCAGCTCGCTGCTGAGGACAAAGCAGCGAGTCTCTCCCAGCTGGCAGGGAGGGGACGTGTCCCTACCCGCTAGGAGAGACTTGCTGTTCTGTCTTCAGCAAGGAGCTGCTGCTGTCACTTAGAAGGAACCTTGCCCCGTAGTTATTATCCCCATTTTACAGATGGATGCAACTCAGTGACAGTGCTGGGAATGGAAGCAGCTCTCCAGCTCCCCAGCCTGTCCTGCAACTACAAGGCAGTGTCTCACCTCTCCTGCTTACCTCCATCTCCTTCCACGGAATGCCACGGGATCGTTAACTAATACCCAAGGGAGCCAGGGCCCCTGATCTCCCTCTTGCTCACCCCAGCATTACGCCCCTATAAATCCAGTGACCCTGGCGGCTCTGACTGCTGAGTCACACCAGCCAGGCCTGGGGTTATTACCTGAACCTAGCTGGCTGAAGGAGCTGCGGAGGAAGAGATGCTGAAAGGCCAGAACAGTTGCTGCTGCTGCACCAGAGAGAGGGGGGCTGCAGAAGCCCCTCATGACACAGGAAAGTGTGTGCGGGGAGCAGGGGAGGGAACAGGACTGGGAGAAGGTGAAGCACATTCACTGGCAGGGGGAGAGCGAGGCGAGTGGGAGGAGCAGGTGTGTTCATGGGGACAAGGGGGCACATCCCCTCAGAATGGGGAGGGCACATTTATTGAAAGTGGATTAGGAAGGGGGCCAGGCAAACCCACCCCGAAGGAGAAGGCAGTTGTGGGGAGAGGGGAAGGGTCTCCACACTTACTCCAGGACGTCCCTGTTGAACTGCTTCTTGCTATTGCCCAGGAACTCCCCGATCATCTGGCGGCTGAGGCCCTTGCGCTGGAGCAGGAAATGTGCCACCCCGATGGGTGTGTCTGGGATGAAGCCCCGGGAGATCAGGAACTGGATCCCTTTGTCTGGGTTTCTGCAAGAGAAGGACAGGGACGGTGAGCCAGACACTCACTTCAGGGCACCGTTGCCTCTGGAAGGCGTCTTCTTGGTGAGTCCTCTCCCACACTCCTCCCCTGTGACTGGCCCGGTTGTGGGGCAGGGGCAAGGCCAGCAGCAGCTCCATCCAGCTTGCAGGGGAGAACCTCATCCAGCCCCTGCCATGTCACAGGGAGGAGGTGAACATGGTTCTGATTCCAAGGACAGAAGCCCTCATGGCACCTGTCCAGCTGGCGTGTCTCTCTGTGAGGCAGCCTGGAGTGCTCACAGGGAGGCCTCTACAGGGACTGCGAGTGCCCTGAGAAACACCGCCTTCCCTCCAGCCCCCACCTCGGAGCAGCTCTGTGTCTTGCGTCAGCGTGTCTGTGTCTGTCTGTCTGCTCAGAGAATTCTCTGCGAGTTGCACACGTGGGACTCTGCAAGTGCTTGTGATTCTGCAAGCGTCTGCATGTGTGTTGTTCGATTCTGCACATGTCTTTGTGGGCAGGCGCATCTCTGAGATCATGTGGGTTTCTGTGGACAAAAACACAGTAGGTGTGGGTCACCCATGAGTGTTTCTATGTGTGCTGGGGTGTGTGTGTGTGTGTGTGTGTGTGTGTGTGTGTGTGTGTGTGTGTGTGTGTGTGTGTGTGTGTGTGTGTTTGGCACAGAGGGACATATTGAAGGTTTGCATGTATCTCTTTTGTCCCTATTCCCTACCACCGTGGCAGGCTGTCACTTGTGATGCACTCTAGCAGACAGCACTCTGGCTGTCAGTTAGATTCACAGGGGAATCAGCAAACCCCGAGGTGGTTTCCAAATTCCTCGTGGTTCCCTGATCCAGGGTGGCTGGTGCTTCCTCCTGAGGCAGGAATGTCCCGTTTCTGTAGTTAGCTCTGGTGCAGGGGACTGTTTAAAGGGTTTAACAAATGGATTTGCACAATCAGCTTCCTGGGCGGAAGAGCACAGTACACAGGAGCATGAGTGCTTGATTCCTCCTTGACTTTTACTGCTCAGCTCTACCAGGTGATCAGGGACTGTGCAAACAACTCATCTGTATGAGGATGGGACAACGTGCCAGAGGGTGCACTCTCCTCTGTAGGAAAGGCCCATGGGACAGACAAGAGTGCATGTATGGAAATTATACCCAGTGCCACGGAATGGCACGTACAGAATGAACTGAAATGAACAAAGTTATAATCCTAGTGAGAAAGGCAGAAATTCAAGCTATTCAGTATGCATGAGGGAGTCCGAACAAACACCCCAGTGAAAAGCCCAGGCTCACTTAACCCATTACGTGCTCCTTAACACACCACGTACATTACCCCACATATGTCACCTCTCAAGAGTAAAGGAACTACCCAACACAAGCCTCACTGTGAGAGAGAGAGAGAGAGAGAGCGCGCAGTGGAAGGGTTTGGAAAGAGCCCTTCTAGGGCATCTCAGCAGAGGAACAACATGATGCCCAAATGCCAAGGGCTGATCTCAGCTACGCATGTGAATCCAATGTAACTGCACTGAAGGCAGTGGGGTTACTCGGGATTTGCCCCAGTGTACCAGAGAGCGGAATGTAGCCTGAGAATGGAACGGTCATACCATGGGGAGGAATGGATGAGTTGGAGAAGGCAGAGGAAGGATAGTGCAGAAAAAATAACACACAGGGTGATGTAACTCAGCCTCCAACACTGCACCATCCCCAGCATTCCCCTGCTGCAACCGGAACATAATAGGATGTCCATGTTCACAATTCTCATGGACTAAAAGGCAATTTCCAACCATTTTAGTGAGGGGCAGAATTTGTTTCCCATCAAATACCTACTAGGTGTAACTCACTCTCAAGCGGCACAGCGACTGAATACCCTACCGCTGACTACTATGTTCTGTGCCGCTTACCTTCAATTATTTTCTCCACATTATGTCTCTTGAATCACCACTTGCATCACTTCTGAATTTGGCCCATGGCGTGCTCCGCTGTGGCTGAGAAACTAAGCTTAGCCAGTATGTGCTGCAGGATTCCTACAGCCCTGCTGGCTTTCCCTCCGCCTACGCAGCTAGCTGCCCACGCACAAACACAGTTATTAGAGCAGCGCTGCATCATAAGGAGCTCTCCGGTCCAAGATCTCCTCCCCCTCACTGTGGTGCGTGGACTGGGGAAAGTGCCGCAGCACAATTGCAATCAATACAGTCCCAGGGGCCAGTTCCAATCCAGAATATCACCAGCTGAAAACTCCGACGTGGGACTAAAGAGCAGAGTGAGATTGCTAACAAACCATGGAGCCTTCCACTTTTCAGGTCAGGCCAGTGGGGACCAAAAATCAATACTCTTTGATGGCAATATATGAAACGGGTTTGCTGGTCTCAGTTTAGTTTCTAGTGTGTGGGTGTCCACGTCATCACAACCACTAATCAAGTGGTCTCTTTGCTGGAAATCTCAGGGGGGGATGCAGGGGCACTATGGACTGCATGGGCCATATGGACCAAGCGGCCTTCTCAGACCCAGAGAGGGTCCCCTTTGGGGTACATCAGTGTATCTCCACAGGAGACGCTTGCCCTACTGCTGCCCTTGCTGAAAAAAGGCTGGGGCTAAACAGAGATTTCACTGTTCAGGACTGACAAGTTGGCACCTTTCCTGCTCCCCAGATAAACATCTTTCAGAGAAAACTGGCCCTAACAGGTGACAGGCACGAGAATGGTCCCAAGAGGGTGGAAAGGGGTGCCCAGCAGAGTATGGTTCTGAATGATATGCGTTTGGCATGACTCCAGTCACACAGAGACCTAAGAGATGTGGTGAGCCTGGGTCAGCGAGCCAAGAAGCTGCCGATTCATCATGTGCGCCTCAGCCCATCTGACTGCAGGAGGAGCAGGGAAAAAACATTCACACCCCTGCTTTCCCATCAGCTCAGTGCTCGTGTCAGTGATACACACAATGTGAGCCAGACGAAGACAGATTGGTGCCGGCACAGTTGCCAGGCATGTCTGTGAATATTTAAGCGTTTAGCTCACAGAGAGCTGAGCACTGAGTCCGTTTCCAATAAAACACTCATTCAGAGCCCAACAGGCAGGAGACCTGACTCTGTAAAACAGCTGGGCAGACCTGATCCCCTCTTCTACATAAACCAGACCCATGTGCTCCAAATCCACCCCTCCCTGTCCCCCCCTCTGTGTTGCAGCCTCCATGTGCCTGTCAGCCAGACCCGAGGACACCCCAAGCCTCTCTCATGTTCAGACTTGGCCATGTTCCATTCCCCCCATTGCAGGTAAAATGTCCACCCAGATCTGTGCATGCCCCAAATGTGTCTCAGGGTAGAACTCCCATCCAGAACCATGTATCCCAAGCCTATCTGGTAAACACCTAAAAACATTTGGGTTGCTCTGAGATCATCGCTATAAAGCACTTGGAACCCTTTGTCTTCAAGTCACTCACTTCAAAATTCATATAGACAGTCCATGAGCACCACACTCCTGGACTTGGGAGTTCCCTTTAGAAAGGTCCTGTGTGCAAAATTTCTTCCTAGGACACAGTCTGGGCTCCCTCAGAAATCATTCCCCTAATGTCGCGGTCCAGAGACTGGATGAATACCAAACTGAAGAGTGACATGGTCAAATTATGAAAGAGCAAAGAACTGTATTTCCCAGGGTTTGCTGCAGTCAACAGGGTTTCACCTACAGGCAGTGAGCAAACCTCCTCACAGAGTCTCAGTCGCCTTCTGTGAATCCAAGGTACGCGACCTTCTACGTTACCTCTCCTGACTCTAATCTCCAGGCTGCTCTGCCTTTGCTTTCACTCTGACAGGGTTTTTCACAGGGCATTGTTCTGAGCTGTGCAATAGATTGCGATGATTAAATTGGGTCTGTCAGGTGAAAAATTCTCTCCAAACTACTGAAAGGAAAACAGCAGCCAGAGCCCCCGCCATGAGCTAGTTAAGCTCTCAGTGCTCTTGGGTTCAAGTCTCGGGTTCAGTTCTCATTCAAAAAAGGCCCGGGCTTAGGGACAACCACCACTCAAAAGTGCCCCATTGTGACTCATGAATAGGGGTATGTCACAATACCCATAATCGGGGTTCTATCTTCAGCGTGCTGGACAGAAACCAAGGGGTTTTACGGTCATGTCCCAGCTCTGGTGGAATATCAGAACAGCAACCAGAGAACCTAAGTTCACTATTTGCAGGGCAAAGCCCCTGCCCTGTTAATAGAGACCTGAGTTCAGGCCCCAGGTGGTCGCACTCTGGGACATAAGAAGTAAGGAGAAAGCTGAGTGAGATTAAAGGATTTAGTCCTATAAGCCACTTACATGTTAAAGAGGTTCAGCCCAATGCGGTAGAGCCGCTTCCTCATGGTGTCTGTGGAAAGCGTGGGAGATTTGCAGCTGGCTGGATTCTCGCAGTGGTACCGTGGGAGGCTCAGAATCATGGCCTGCAGCGCTTCCTTAGAAGACACCTCGGATGCTGACTTGGCTGACGTGGACGTGCTGCTGCTGCTCAGCTGCTCTGAGTTGTCTGCATTTTCAGACTCAGAGCCCTTGCTCTGCCCAGTCTCATTGTTCGAGTCAAACTGGAGTTTCTGCACCACCATTTGTCCTTGCTCCATCACCCCTCCCCCCAAACCGTTGGTGTTAACATTCACCTCAGTAAAAGTGTGAGTGTTCTGGAGGACCCTGGAGTCCGGCAGCCCTTCCAGGGTAGCCTGGGCCTTTTTGTCTTCCTTTCCCCCATCCTCTGGGACTTCTTCAATTCTGGCAGCTTGGGAGAGCCCGGCCTGGGCACTGCTGCTGAGACAGTTCGCCATGGAGACCGAGGTAGACGATGAGACCGAGATATTCTTGTTGTCAATCTGGACCGTGACGTCCCGGAAGGCCATCATGAGGGTGCTGCTGCTCTTGGGCAAAGTATCTGGCAGCAGTCCTTCTTCCTTCTCTTGCTCCTTCAGTTCAACTTCCAAGTCCTGGTTCGGCTGCATTGCACTGGCGCTGAAGGTCTCTCTGATCTGGTAAGAGCTGCCATCTTGAAGGGAACACATGGTCTTCAGGCTCCATGTACTGAGGGCGTCATCAATAGATTTAGCCAGGGACTGAACCTGCTCTGTGAAAGAGTCCTCCAGTTCAGTCAGCGCCCCGCTGATGGTGACTGGCAAAGAAGGGGATCTCACCAAGGGAATGCCTACAAAATTGTACCCTTCCACCAGGGCTTTCTCAGCAGAGAAGCTTTCAGAGTTCTGGACCCGGACTTTTCTCAGTGAGATTCGGCGGGGCATGCGGCTTTCCAGCAGGGAATTCCGGATCTTCTCAAAGTTTTTGCTGAGTTGGTACTGGCGGAAGGCAGTCTGGATGGTGCAGGCTGCCCTGCGAGAGACCAGGTGCCCTCCGTATTTGTGCTCTAGCATTTCGATCTGAAACACACAAACAAGATTTTTAATGGGCTTCTGAAGGCTGCCCATGACTCCTATTTAGACACTGATTAGTTAGCAATGACACTCAGCGGGACCTCCAAAACTCCATCAGCTGTTCTCCATGCTGCAGTGCCTTGGGGATGCCTGCTGGGACTGCAAGAGAAAGCAGCGTCCCACAGCAGTGCCCTGGACATGCCTGCTGGTGCACTGACAGTATGGGATTCCTCAAAGCAGTCCTAATCTCCCAAAGCTACATTAACACGTTTTCGTCCCTCAGCCAAGTGCCTCTAAGGGGAAATCACCGAGAACAAAGAACAACTAGGGCATTTTAACCGTGAAACCGGAGCTGAGATTAAGAGCTATGGACCCAGTCCTGTGAATGAGTCTGCTCAATTTCCACCGAAGTCAGTGGGCGTTGTGTGACAAGAGACTGTTCTATGTCTCTCAGGGTCACACACCTATCTAAGCTCCCCTCCATGCCCTCGTGCACCTTGTGTCTTTCGGGGACCAGCCCCACAAACAAACAGAAAAAAACTCAGGGAGGAAATGAAAAGTGGTCTAAGGGGTGAGAAACTGTAAAGGATGAGAAAAGTTATTTAGAATCAATGTTAAGAGGCTCCAGACTATGAATTACCTCCTGAGCTGCTAAGCCCCCTTCTCTCGCCCGCCCCACATACTAATGAGATACAACATCATTAGTCAGAGCAAATCAGCCACTAGGCCTACCCTGCGCACCTCATTATCAATGTTTTTGTGCCACGGCCTGGCCAGTTTCCCACATGAACCCAAATGCTGTTTTTTCTTCCAGTCCTCACTTCCTTTTTGCTTTGCAAGTGCAGGCCAAGACAGGTGCCAGAGAAGGATGTTGTCTGTCTGCCTCGTACATCCCCCCAGCCTTCGTCCTAGGGAGCAATCAGTAGAGGACAATATGGAAGCACAGCGGGGGGTGGAGGCGGGAGGTGGAAGATGGAAATGATGGATGATGATGCTGAGGGAAGCAGAAAGAACAAACCCTAATTATCCCTACTGAGACTGGGTCTAAACTGCTGAGCCTGGCAGGTCCCCTCCGGTGTCTGATAAAGGATTTTTCCTTGCACCACGCAGGTACAGAGCAGGGTGGGTGAGAGAGAGAGAGAGACTGCGAAGTAGAAAGTGAGGCACAGGACAGCAAGCACAGGCGGGCTCAATCCTGCATTAACATGACCACCACTTACTTCTGCCTATTAACAGGATCAAGGACAAAGAGGAGCACATGGCTAAGAGCCTTATATACCAAGGAGAGGCTCATTCTCAGACACACCCTTGGTGCACCCACACTGCACATTTTCCTGGTCCTATGGTCCAAAGAGGGGGTGTGCAGAGACCTTGGAGTTATTACACGCTCACTGGTGACAGAACCAGATTCAAGCACCAGCAGACTACACCTGTATCGAGAATCCCAGCTCCTGGAGTCATGGGATGGTATCAGAATCTCAGCTTTCCTTTCTTGTCAGTAAGTTTCTGGACTTCACCGCTGCAAAGCTAACCTTCAGAAAGTGAACCGAGTGCCTACCTTGCGTCTGCAGAGAGTCTGGAACAATCAGAACTGCCCCATATGTCTCAATAAGCTATAACACCAAGATTCACTGCTGGGGGAGTGAGGGAGGGTTCAGATGACACCCCAGGAGAAGACTCTGTGCATGGTAGATGGAGAACGCTCAGGGCCAAGCCCCCCACCCCTATAGATACACCCTAGCTGCTGGTGTAAGTACTAAAGTCCCAGTTACTGACACCCTTCACCTTTCCAGTGGGGAGAGAGCATGTGGTTCCTACTTAGTCTAGGGAAGGGAGGGCCCCACTGTTGCTTCTGGAAAGGAGAAGGGAGCCCGGGCCACTCCAAGTGGGAGGTATGCTCATTTGCACCAATGCAATGTGGGGGCCAAATCCTGCCAAAGCAGAATGGAAATCACTTGCACTTGCTTAGAACCAATGTAAATAACTGCCCCAGGTGAAGTACAGCACTGGATCTAGCCCTGAGCCCTTCCTCAGACTTGCCCTGGAACACGCCAGCTTTGCCCATCCTGCTGCTCACTCAGTAAGTACCTGCAGAATCAAAGCCAAAGTCCCTCCAGGCCATTGATCCCACTCAAGAGATAGCAGCGTCAGCTTTAATGATATTTGGGGTGGCCTCGGAGTGCAGGGAAAAGCAGAAAGGAAACAATCCCTAAGACTTGTCACACCTTCGGCTCACGCTTTGCTCCCCACCCTGCTTAAATCTCAGCACACGGTCAGAGCTTCCCCTTCCTACATCTTCAAAGTGGGACACTCTCCCTGCAAACAGATCCAGTCCCTTCCCCCTCCCGCCTCTGTGAGCAAATGAGACCTATCTCATCCCTCCTGCCTGCATAAGAAAGGCGCATTCGCCATTAAACGGCGAACCTGAGACTGGGAACTAACAGAGTGCTGGGTTCCACCAGGGATGTCAACGTGTAGTCAACTACACGATTAACCAGTCAGTCTGGGGGGGGGGGAGGAGCAGGAGCCCCTTAAAAGCGGGCTCCCTTCATCACTGGCTCCGCGGTGCCACCTGCCCCTCCGCCCCCGGCCGTGCTGCTGCCTCTATTAGAGGCAGGAGCACAGGGTGAGGGGCAGAGGAGGCTGCCGCCCTCCCACAGACAGGGGCTGCTGCCACCCCACCCTGCTGCTTCTGTATCAAAAGCAGCAGTGCAGAGTGGCAGGCAGGAGCCAGTCTGTGCAGGAAGCTGATTTTTAAATCAGCTCCCCTCGTGGACCGGTTCCCACCTGCCACCCCGCGCTACTGCCTCTGTATCAGAGCAGCAGCAAAGGGTGGCAGGGGGATGCCCAAGAGTGGGGCCGGGAGCACCCTGGCTGCCACTAGCACCTCTGGGGACTATCAAATAGTTGTGTAATGGCTAAAATTTCATGTGGTTACACGACTAGTCTATTGCACACTAACATCCCTAGTTCCACAGCCTAGCAAATCAGCAAGGCTAGCTCTGTTGGGAGGGAGGCGCATGGAGGAAGTAGCCACTTGAAAGAAGGGATAGTAGTAAGGCACAATACCCTGCAGAACCATGGGAAGCCGCAGCCTGGTTGTTATCCCAGATTTCCAAGAAGGTGACAGCCATTTGGGAAGCATAAAACTCATTCCGTTCTTATTAGAGGCCAAGATAAGATGTAATTGCTGCTCTGCAAGAACAGGCGATTCCTCCCAAGCAGAGGCTAGTTTCTGAATAGCAGAGTTTTATGGCCTTGGTTCTTAGCGGGCGAGACAGGGGTCTTCTAAGAGTTTAAATGAATGGGCCAAAACCCATTGGCACCCAGTTACTGCAATGTGGGCACTCTGTAAAGCCCTACGAGCTGTTAGGGAACTTAACGCCCAAGGCATTCCCAATCTATGCTGCTTCCTAAAGGCCCCGATCGGAGCTCTCAGGGGCCAGCCAAGCTGTCCGAATCTTGAGTGCTTTACAGAACTTTCTACCTGGGAACCCAAAGGAGGGTCAGGATCATGATTTTCATTTTGCCAACGGGAAAGCAGAGACATGGAGACTTGCCCAAGGTCACATGAGTTAAGTAGCAGAGCCAGGGACATACAGCAGGTCTCCTGATTCCCAGTCCAGCACTTTGCCCATTGGGCCATGCTGCCACTCTGCTTCAATGGGACTAAATCTCTTCCATTCTCCCTGTCAGGAGCATGCAGCTGAGAGATATCCTGAGGTCTACAGTGTCTGCATTTGCTGCTAGGCAGAGGTAAGGATTTCACACAGCCACTGGCCAATTCCTGGGAGGGAAATGTGCATCCATTAGCACTCCACGGCAGCGGGAGCTTATGGAGATGTGTCTGGCTTGTTGCAGGAACCTTCTCTTTCCTCTTGGGAGGAGAGAAGGAGCGGATAGGCTTGGCTGCCTCTCACTTCTCAGCAAACCCTAAGAATCACATGTGATTGCCTACTCAGAACTATTCTTCTCTGAGGAGCAATCTGGCAGCCAGAGCCAAAGGAATAGAAAAGCGGGGGGAGGGGGGGGGGAATAAAAAGAATAATTAGCTTAACATGTTCATGGCCCTCAAGGCAAGCACCCAGTCTGGGCAATTCAGACTCTGTGGCTGAATCAGAAACAGCTGGGAAATTTCTCTGACCGGGAAGGCTTGTGCAGAGGGAGTTTTTATAAGCCCAGCCTCAGGCAAACCTCTGTGCCCAGCCTGGATGGGAACGTATTTGAGATACGATCCCTGCGGCAGCATTGCCCACAGCATGTTCAGGCAGACACAAATATACCAGCTCAGTTCTCCAGGAGCAATGGGCCTGATGCCGATATCACTTACACTAGTTTTCCCCCTGGTATTGAAGTTGTTATGCCTTATTTACAACAGTGACAGTGAAAGGAGAATCGGGCCCAGTGACTGTATCAGAGCTCCTCAGGGCAGCCTAATATGTCTGATGTAACACAAAAGAGAGAAAGCTGGGAACTCTTGAAGCGCTTTTCTTACTCATGTTCTCCCTGCGTCTCCCACTCCCAGCACCCTTGGCCCCTCACAATGAATGGAGCAGCGCTGTATTAAAGGGTGGGGCATTAAAAGGCCTGGGGTTTTGTCCGTCCTATACAGGGCCTGCTCCATCACATGGCATTAGAGGGGGTGATGTGAGAATGGAGGTGCTGCTCTTCATATTTGGACATGCTCCATTTCCCATGGGACACCATTCTTCAGCACCTGAACAAACTACATCATCCAGCGTCCCACTGTGGTCTTAAGGGGCTTGCTGCTGCCCTGAATAACCGGGCATGCTCCATCTCATGGTCAGGCTCACTGATGGGAGGAAGGGAGTGACAAAGGAGGCAACTGCCCTGGGGCTCAGCGATTCAAAAGGGCCTGAGGCCATTGCAGCTTGCCCTGGGCCATTAAATTACCCCTGGAGCCCCAGGTGGCATGCTCTGGGCTGGTGGGGGGAGACTAACCCACGCCCTGACCCTTCGGCCCAAAGCCCTGCTCCTTCTGGGAGTGCAGAGCTACCCTCCCCCCTGCACCTTGCCCAGGGGTGGAGCCAGCCCTCCTGCTGATGGTGTAGAGAGCTGTGCCCTCGGAGGCAAGCGCCAGCCTTCTTCTGTGGCCGTGATCCATCCACCAACATGCCAGCACGGTGTTATGAAGCACAGTGCGTCTGCAGGCGCTCTCCTTTGTATCCTGGACACGCACCACCTACTGCCTCTCCAACCCACTGCCTATGGGCATTTTTCTTTTTAACTTGTACACAATCATCGCCTGAAAGCTTACCCAGGCCGGGAGACCGGTGAGAGGCCCTCTTTCACATTTTGAAATAAATACTTTAACAAGACTAAAGAAGAGTATGAAGGTGCTGTGATTAGGCGGATTGTAGTGGCAGAGTGAGGAAATCAAGCCCTGAGAGCACAGTTGTGCCACCTGTACTAGTACTGAGTAGTACCTTATGGGACAGGAAATCTCATTTAAATCTATGAGATGACTCACAGAGCAAGACACTACTCAGGGTGAGCGAGAGTGGCTGAATCTGACCTGACCTGATATTTTTCCCACTCCAGGAAAGGTACCTGCTCCAGGGCAGGTCTAGGGTCCATTAAGGAAGGCCCAGGACAGAATGAACATGGATACTGCAATCTCCCTCACAGTGGGGAAGGTGGTTCTGCCAATGGCAGGCCCAAGGTCCATGGAAGGTCAGTACTGAGAGGAACCAGAATTGAATGAACATGGGGATATGCCCTCCCCCTGTCTCAGATTCCTCCGAGGCAGGTTTGGGCTATGTTTGAAAAGCAGACTTTGGGGAGCCCATGGCTAAACATAAGAACATAAGAACGGCCATACTGGGTCAGACCAAAGGTCCATCTAGCCCAGTATCCTGTCTACCAACAGTGGCCAGGACCAGGTGCCCCAGAGAGGGTGGACCGAAGACAATGATCAAGCGATTTGTCTCCTGCCATCCCTCTCCAGCCTCTGACAAACAGAGGCCAAGGACACCATTTTATCCCCTGGCTAATAGCCTTTTATGGACCTAACCTTCATGAAATTATCTAGCTTCTCTTTAAACTCTATTATAGTCCTAGCCTTCACAGCCTCCTCTGGCAAGGAGTTCCACAGGTTGACTACACGCTGTGTGAAGAAGAACTTTCTTTTATTAGTTTTAAACCTGCTCTCCATTAATTTCATTTTATGTCCTCTAGTTCTTCTATTTAGGGAACTAAACGGATTTAGAATGAAGAGATCATGGGTCAGATGCTCAACTGGTACAAATCAGTGCAGTTCCATGACTTGAACGGGGCTATGTCAGTCTATACAAGTTGAGGAACTGGTCCACCATAAGTATAAGCTACATTTGTTGGTGAAGCTTGCTAGTTATCTCCCTCTTGCCTCCTGTGAAACAAGATATATGGCCAGCTAGAGTTGTATATGCAGTGCACCATACAGACCCAGAGACTCAAGTCCTGTTTGGTGCTCAGTATTTGGGTGGGTCATTAATGGGACCTTTCTGGTTTGGGGTGCCAGACGTGTCTTGTGTGAATTGGAAGGAAGAATTCCCTGCAGCAACTGCTTGGGTAAGAACCTGCTCAGATTCAGCTTTCATTTTCTAAATGGCTCCTGGGAGGAGAGGGAGAAAGGTCCCTCTGTATCTGCTCCTGAAGTAGAAATAATTCACCCATCACTGCTTACAAAAACATCCCTCTACCACTGAGCATAATCTGGGCAGAGGGCACCACTGATACTTGTTTAGTTTCCCAGCCTGCTGGTATGCAGGGCCTGTGTACGAAGCAGCCTCCAGTGCTGCACCCCATGAAAAAGACAGAAATGTTCCTCTTGGAGTGAGGCTTTTTAATAGCAAATCTGCTGTGTTTTAATCCCCCAGTGACACAAGGTGCTTGCGAGAGGTGGCGTTTCTTCTCACTGTCTATAAGGTGGGGCCCCCGCATCCAATGCTGAGAGGAAGACAGGGTGATGTGACTGAGCTGAGCTAGGCTAGCGCCCTGGGTGAAAGCAAAAAGGCTGCTGATCTGTGAGAGTTGTCTGGTAAGTCTGCCTATCTCGAGAGCATCCATCACCATATTGCTTCTGAAAAAACAACAAATAGTCTGGTAGTACATTATAAAGTGCTGTCAGACTATTTGTTGTTTTTTCAGTTTAGCTGTACAGACTAACTCGGCTACCCTCTGAAGCTTCTGATCATATTGCTTCTGTAACTAGTGATATGCTATGTGCTAGGCACTTTACAGGACACAAATAAAGAGAACCCCTGCCCCAAGGAGCTGACAGTCTAAGGGCTCAGAACATAGGTGTAGAAGCTCCTCTGGATAAAGGGAACCCACAACCTCTCAGCTCTCCCCAGCTTCTCCCCTTGAATACTGAGACCCTGATCTCCTGGGATGCCTGGAGCAGTGTGTGCTCACTGCCAGACATTTTCCTTGGGGGCTCCGCAGCCCTCTACTGCCTGACAGGCTTCTCTCAAGCTAACATCTGGTTTGAGTAGCTGCCTCCGTTCTGAACTGTGGCACACAGCTGGTGTGGGAGAGGGGAACAGAGCCCAAGAGGTTCGGGTGAGGTGATGTCCTGGCCAGGCCCAGGAAGCTAGATGAGGCTCATGGGTTCCTTCTTCCATGGTCCCCGCACAATGCAAGGCCAAGCCTGCTCTGAGAGGAAGGCACAGGATGGTCACGAAAACTGGGCTAGCAAGTTCCCAGGGAAAATGACCCAGCGTGCCGTGAACGTGGTCCCGCCCGCCCCATCCCCCTGTCCCATAGCCTGAGGAGGAAGCTGCTGTACCTGTTTATTCTTTAGGTCAAGAGAGAGCTCATAATCGGAGGCAGCTGCATGGGAACACGTGGCCGTCCCTTTGCTGCGCTGCACTCTCACTGGGGAACCCGTGTGGTGGAGGCTGGGCTTCTGCACCAGAGGGGAGCACCCCGCTGCCTGCTCCTCCTGCCGCTCTGCATGCTGGGCTTTTAGCGTCAGGGTGTCGGACCTGCCTTCCTGGCCACTGTGTCTGCCGGCCTCCTTCGGATCCTCCGTTTCACACCCGGGTTTCTTGCTGGTGGTACCACAGGAATCGTCACTGTGAACAAAACGCAACGTTTCGCTTTTTTTATTTGGTTTTTGGATTCTCTACGCTCATTAACGGATCTTCACGTCAAACGTCCAGGGAGCCTGGGCTGCAGGGTGGGAGCAGGGTGTGGATCAAGACCGTACTTTGAACCAGCAAAAACACTGGCCCCTCCCGCCCAGAGAGCCAACAGGGTGTGCCACATACACCAGCTAAGCCAGAGTCATGTGACTCCCAGCTGCAGTCTGCCTGCCTCCCCAGATCATGCTGTGATATCACTTCACAGGCTGATGAGAGTATCATGGGAGCAGGATGCTTTTTCTTGGATCTTGTCCTAGCAATAAGTGTCCAGCCCACAGACACCACGTGTCCACTGCTTACTAACTGCCTGCGTGCGTTTGGGGTCTCACTTGATTATGGAGACTGGATCCCAAGGATCCAAGGGACTTGATTTAACTTCCCCCTGGAGTTTTAAGGGCACATGGAAATGAAACACATATGGTTGGATCTTATGAAGCAGCCATTAGCTTCACTGCCAGAGCCATAGACCATAAGGAAGCAAGAAGGCATTAAAAGGCCTGGGACCCAGAAATACTAAAATAAACTTATACAACAAAACGTTCGTAAGTGACCTCTAGGGATTCCATAAACAAAACCGTTTTGTCCTGGCCCACAGAGCAGAATCCAGTACCAGTGGTTCCCAATGGCAAGAGGATCACATCCTTCTTTCCCTTATAGCTACCTCTTCTGCACAAAGGAATACTGGTAAAAAATTAGTGCCATAACAATGCATTCTAATGCAGCTGAAAGGCATTGTGAGACAGTATGGGGTCTGTATGTGTCTGGATCTCTGAAGATCCCCGCACCGGATAAGTGTTTTCTGAAATCAGAGACTTTCATCTACAGGGGGACTTCCTGAATTACAGAGTCTGATTCTCCTCTTCAGAACGACATTGGTGTCATTCCACTAACCACAATGCAGTTATGATTGACAAGCATGTATACACTAACCAGATCACATTCTGACCTCTGTTGCACTGATGTAAATATGCTGTAAATCCACTGACTGCAATGGAATTATTCTGATTTGACTGAAATCAGAATCTTGCCCAGGAATGCGATTTTTTTCAAACATGCATAGATATGCAAAAGCAGTATTTTCTACTATTCGACTTGATTCTTGAATACCTCTGATATTTGAATCGTAATGTATGTCCAGGGCATCTTTAATGTCAGACTTGTTATACGGTAACTTCTTTTCCCTGCTGGTGAATATATTAATAATTTTACCAGCAGCCATGTATTACCTTTTCTTTTGCTCCAGCAGTGTAGCCTTTTCCACTGTACAATTCTAGGGAAGACCAGATGACCACGGGCTACATTTCCCATTTACTTCAATGGGATCAGGATTGGGTCCTACAAAGCTCACTTAGCTGTGTAACCAGGCTTTGATTCAGCAGGTCATTTAAGCACACACCTAAGCACTTTGCTGAATCAAGGTCATTGCAGTGCAGACCACCTCCTCGACTGCAGTTCAAAGCCTAGTTTGTTGACTAGAACACTGACTTTCCTGAGAGCATAGCTGGCCTCCGGGTCCCAAAAAACATTCGTTATGGTCCTGATCTTCCACACACTAAGCATGCGCTACCCTTTACTGCCATGAGGAACTCCACTAACGTCAAAATAAGTGTCCATGGCAGTAAAGTTATGCATGTGTGTCAGCGTTTGCAGGATCAGGGCCTATTACTCGATGTGGTTTTACTAAATCTGTAATAGGTTGCACAAATTTCATTTACTGGGCACTTTTCAAACAAATGGCTCTCATGGTGTCTGTCTGGCACCTGGGGGAGAGAGCAATGCACAGTCCTACTGACATCTTATGTTTGCCTGAGCTATTATTTGTTAGAGGTGGTAGAGAGAGTAGGACATTATAAATCTTTTTTTTTAAGTCAAAATTGTCCCAGAGAGGTGCTTGCTTGTATAAATCTAAATAAATTAACTATGTTACTAACAGGCAGAAATAAGACCTTCTGTGTGACTTGAACTGACTTGGAGTGCTTACCCAAGCAACTTGAGCATCATTGGTCTGGTTATGTAGCTTATATGTATGGAATTTCCTTAAGGTGTTGTTTGGTAGTTGGTTAAAAGACTTCCTAGGTCTTTGCAGCTCTGCTGGAATGCTACTCATTGTCAACAGTGTTAAATTCCAGGAGGGAACAATTTGGCTAGACACTGGAAGAACACTCACCTGCCTTCTCTCAAAGAAGGGCTGGAGAAAGTGGTTTTCTCCTGGACCTGCACAACAGCTATAACACATCTGGTTTGGGGCTCCCACTTGCCAGGCCAAGACTTCCTAGGTCTTTGCAGCTCTGCTGGAATGCTACTCATTGTCAACAGTGTTAAATTCCAGGAGGGAACAATTTGGCTAGACACTGGAAGAACACTCACCTGCCTTCTCTCAAAGAAGGGCTGGAGAAAGTGGTTTTCTCCTGGACCTGCACAACAGCTATAACACATCTGGTTTGGGGCTCCCACTTGCCAGGCCTGTAAAAGACATCATCTCGAGACTACATCTACACAGCTTCCCATGTCCACAAAAGCCTATGCAAATGGAAGCGTAGTTTAGCATATTGCCATGCTTCATTTGCATAATTAATTAGGAGCCATTTTGTGCAAGAGCCGTTCTTCCTCATTTTTTTCAGGAAGTACAGCTCTTGCGCAGGAGGGGGTTTCTGTGCAAAAAGGCACTGTGTAGACAGCACCTTTTTGCGCAAAAATCTCTTGCGCAAAAACAGCTCCTAATTAATGAAGCATGGCAATATGTTAATCTGTACTTCATTTGCATAGACTTTTACGGAAGAGGGAAGCTGTGTAGACGTAGCCTCCATGCTGGATCAGACCCAAAGTGTTCAGCAGCCCACTTTAACATCATTCTACTTTCAGTACTCACTCCGGGTATGTCTACACTACCCCGCTAGTTCGAACTAGCGGGGTAGTGTAGACATACCCTCAGTGGCAATATGTTAATCTGTACTTCATTTGCATAGACTTTTACGGAAGAGGGAAGCTGTGTAGACGTAGCCTCCATGCTGGATCAGACCCAAAGTGTTCAGCAGCCCACTTTAACATCATTCTACTTTCAGTACTCACTCCGGGTATGTCTACACTACCCCGCTAGTTCGAACTAGCGGGGTAGTGTAGACATACCCTCAGTGCTAATGAAGCCCGGGATTTGAATTTCCCGGGCTTGGAACCAAAGCCCCGGGGACCAGATGGGGCTCCGGGCTTGCCTGGATCCAGCCCCCCCTGGTCGGAGATCCCCCCCCATACCATTGGGGAGCCTGAGTTAGTGCTCCAGCCCCACCCTGCCCTCTGCGGCTGGAGCACACAAAATCTACTAGCCTGCCCCTTACCCCCAGGCTCTGGTGTGTGAGAGGAATGTGGGGACTGGGGGAGTGTCTGGCTCCTCAGTCAGGGGAGCACATCAGTAAAGCTTTGAGGGTTTTTTTTGTTTTTGTTTTTGTTTTGCTTCTCACGTCTCACTTGTGTGTGACCCCTAACTTGTTTTTCTGTGGGGGTATGTCTACACTACCCCGCTAGTTCGAACTAGCGGGGTAGTGTAGACATACCCTCCATAATTAAGGGCCTGTGCATGCAAAACGAATGTACATGCTTAAGTTGGCATATGTGAGAAGTACCATTGATTTCAATGGGTGCCACTCAATGGGTGTAAAGTTAAGCACATGCTAACTCTGCAGGAACAGGCCTCACCTATCTGCACTTGCCCATGCTATGCTGCCTTTATTGGCACACTTTCTGAGCTCAGTAAAAACTCCCTCTCCCCTCCCCCCCAAGATGCAATGTGCACTTGCAACATGACATTTTTGAAGGGTCATAACTCGGTCAAATCAAAACCAAATTTCAGTGGAACACTCAAAGGCATTTCTCAGTGAGAGCTATTTCCATGCTAAATATAAACTTTGCAACCCCTTACTGCGCTTGCTGTCGAGCTGTTCAGAAAATGGTTGCAAACCTTCCTTCTACAGTGGGAGCCACATATTTTTCTACATGCTTTTATGAGGAAAAGGCTCAACTGTTTTAGCTCAGATGTAAAACACAAACCCACACATCCATACTCCACTTTTAGGCAAGAGACCAGGATTGTGGAATTTCAGCTTACTATGTCAGCTTCAGAGAGGTTGGAGCAATAGAAAATGGGGGCTGGAACGGGGCTTATTATGCAATCTCACCTGCAGCATTTCAGTTGCAACTGTTCCTGGTAAGTTTTCTTCCAAGTATGCTCTCTTGTAAAGTAATTACATGGGGCTGGGGACTATTCCCAGCAGTCCTTCCTCAGTGGAAACAGATTTAGTTCCCACCTGGAACATTCCATTTGATTAAAACACCATATTCAAATGAAAAATAAACTCATGCCTTCTATGTTGTTTCTGATCCATAGCCTCTATCCCTGAGAGCTGGCTGGATGCAGAATTGAGTTTCACTCAGAAAGTGTTTGTTGCTAGCAAGGAGGCTGTGCCTAATACTGACAACTATAGACCCCACCATAGTGGTCTGTTTTCATGACTACCAGATATGATCAATGTGATGTCCTATTACTGTACTTTGGAAGGAGCAGGTAACCCATGAAATATATTCAAATGCAGGTAAGTTACACAAGTAGGTGGGAGCACATTACTGGGCACTCTAGATACTATGCGGGCTCCTTGTTGAAAACCAGATCCAAATCAGTGGTAATGCTAATCTTCAAAGCTCCCAAAGAACCGATAATAAGGGGAGTCACCACCAGAGCCAGGACTTTTCCATGAGACCTCCCCATCTTCTGGAACAATGCAGTTCTCCTCAAAGAGTTAGGCCTGTTAGAGTTGGAGACAATGGCTCCTTAACCACCATCCCAGGACTACATAACTCACTGCAGGTCCAGCTACAAGACCCCCCTCTTTCCTGGCTTTCCTACAATAAATTATAGCAAACAAATGACCAAAGGCCCAAGA